TGTCCGCCGGTCCGTTTTGCCGATGCTTTCCGTCTCACCTTTGAACGAGGGGAATCCTGTGCTTCCATCGTGCCGCCCATCTCCACTTGAGGTGGGTGGTTGTGGATCATAGATATCAGGCGCACAGATGGTCATCACAAATTTTTCTATCTTGAATCCACACGTAGTTGTGTATCGTAGCGAGCGCCTGTGTCCTATGTTCTTACCCGATCTCCACAGCACTCAGAGCCCCCCCCACACACACCCCCACAACAGCGCTATTACTGCCAACAAGATGGACATGGGCCCACAGAGTCCATTGTGTGTGAGACATCCATTATTGTAGGATTAGAAACTATTTCCATACATCTGTCTGACTTTGATGGGAGGAAATGGGAGTCGACAACCACGCAGTGCGTCTTTTTCTGTTCCCTTGGCGTCGTCATGGCTTACAGAAAAAACTCAGTTCTTTTACGTTCCTCAAATAGATTCATCAGCACTGACCCCTCCTCTTTTTTCTTTTTTTTTTTAAGTGATTTGGTCTTTTCTGATAGCTAAGGTTTTGTCTCTCCCTGGTCATCGCTCCTTCTCTCCCCAAATGTGTGGATAAGGTTTTAAAGGAAGCACTTACCGCCAAAGCTACGAATAATTATATCACTTAGAGACCAAGTCCCCCTATTATGGTGATTCAGACTGTCAGTGTGCATTAGCAAATGGGCCGGGGGCCTCCTGTGTGGCGGAATTATTCCGAGTCGTGCGCTGCGTGAATCTGAAATGTGACCAGCGCCCCACTCTGTAACCCCCCCAAAAGAAGTCCACCACTCCCATGTTCCTTTGTGAACGTAGTCAGTGCCACTCCATTTCATCTGACTGTTTACATACAGCTGCAAGCCTTTCAAACCTTTAAGATGAAATTATAACGATGATACAATTAAACAACTTGATGAGTACTGCCTTCCTGTAATCCTGATCGTACTCATGAAAGTACTAATGCAGCAACTAAACCGCTATGAAGATCAACTGATCACAGAGAGTCAAAGGGCCAAACTAAGTGTAGGCCACCTGCTAACTCGTATAACGGTTTTACTACCTGGGGCAGCAGCAGAAGCTGTAAACGCACAGGTAACATAGGCCTCAAAAAAGTTCTTTTGCAGGGTTCGATGGTACCGGTTGCCAAGTCGCTACTGGCAACCATCTCTGAGAAATTGGAAACCACTTTTTAACCCACAATCCACGGCTTCAATGCCGGAGGTGCCAACGGACGGATGTGGTGGGAGTCGGAAACAAAGGTCCAGAAAAAGCATCGTTTGAAAGGGAGAGAGAGCAGATGATCAAACAACCAGCAACCTGATGTGTGAAGAACATGACATAACAGCTGCACCACTGCTGCTGTGTGTACCAGCAACTGATAACTGACAACACTGGAGATTCAAATAAATTCAGATAAAACACAAAGAATTATGTTATGTGTAATAAAGATTTTGGTCTTTTATGTCACATTGTCATTACTAAGCTGACTTATAAGAATCTTAATTATTTAAAGTAAAAGGTGACTAAAAATGGCCACCATGGTTTCAGTTTCGGCAATCGAAAGCTGAGGCCTGGTTACCAGCCTGGCCCTTAGCGTTGAGCTCTATCGCGGCTACCACGCTAGCAAACACCTGCTAGCTTACACCTGTAGCACTCACGTAGCATCATTATTGTTGATTTGGAGGCGTGTCTTACCACAATTAAGTTCAATATTCACTCTTATTATCTCTCCCTGTTAGTATCCAAAACAAATCGCACCAGCTAGTTCAGGTCGATTCTGTAGTTTTTTTTTCGTGTCGAAGTGAAGCATTGTTGCTACCAGTTTTGGTATGCTAGCGTTTAGCTGCCCTCAAAAGAAAGTGATTCGGTATCATGTAGCTCAACTCTTGCGTTTCCTGCACCTGTCCGACTTCTTTACACCGTGTGAGTGAATATTCACATATGCTGGAACACACACTTCACACTTCGTGGGGCTTTAACGTAAACATAAGGGTGGAAGATGCCTCCTCAACACTTGTTAGTTGAATGCATGCGTTAATGTGAACTTTTTTTTCTTTTTTTACCTTCATACATCATTCTGCTTTATTCCTCACAATTTCAACCTTCTTCTTTTCTCCGCCTGTCCGCCGCCTCCCTCTCCTCTTTATCTCCTCGCCTGCTAATAACAGCACTCTGTGTGGGTTTCTTTGGAGGAAGGCCTGCCACGGGCCATTAGGCTGCAGTCTCACCGACAAATGAATGGTTAAGACTGACTGCAGAGAGAGGAAGAGGAGAGCAGGAAGCAAGGGTGAAAAAGGGCCACGGTTAGGTACGAGACAGGAAGGGTGACCAGAGAGAGGGAGAGAAGAGAGGTTGTCAAGGAAGGAAGGGGGGGG